AAATACAGGCATATCCATGTTTACTGCAGCACAATTTATAGTAGCTAGATCTTGGAAATAGCACATACAGTACTCATCAACATATGACTAGATAAAGACAATGTAGTATTTCTACACAATGGAGTACTCTGCCATGAAGAAAGATAAACACGAGGCATTCATAGGTAAGTGGCTGCAACTTAAGAACATAATATTAAGTGAAATAAGTCAGACACATACACAAACTTAAATATTGCTTGGTTTCTCTTATATGATAAAATCAAAATATATATATTGAAGTGAAGAGTAAAACAGAAGACAGATAAAAATAGGAAGTAGGAAGAAGTTAAAGTAATTCCCTAAATTACCTGTTCTGCTATATCAAAAATATATTAATATGTATGGTAATTCATTTCACTTTATACTACTAGTTTCTCTTAGTTCACTGAAAAGAAAGTTTTGTGCTATTATCGGTTTCTTATTTGTAAGAGAGAATCTTTTTCTTTCTGAGTAACTACTGTGAAGGAAATGATTGTACATTAACTATTATTATCCTCATTATTTTGTTATGAAATTTTTGTTTTATTTTTCCATAAAAAACAATGCTCTGCAGTAGTATATTCATGTTATGACAGAGCTAGGAGCAGACTCATTTGTTCACAAATTCTGCATGTCCAAGACACCAAGGAAAGCCAGAGAGCTGAGGACAGGCAGCTCACCCCCTGGTTTCTGCTAAATGCAATACTACACACACAGGTAACACTGAACTGACTGATATAACATACTGAAAAATTTCAACATTAAAACGACTCCCCACATGAATGAGAACCACTGGGTGAGAGGAACACAGAAAACCATTTTTAAAGAACGTGTGACAAGTCTGCCATACATACAAGCAAATTAATCCACATGCCTAAAAATCTGCATGGGATTTTAGTAATGGTGGTAATGATTAAAACTTCTGGGAAATGTATTTTAAATAAGTAGTTGAAAATACTAGACAGTAATCAAAAGTAGGCACAAAGTAGAGGGAATTGGACAGTTGAGGAAAAAAAACAAAACTGCACAGAGTGAGATTTATGTGTGTAGGGCTTTGTCCCACAGATTATTTTCCAGGCTTGAGGGTTGAGTGAATAGAACCCCTGCAGGAAGCCACATCTGTATTAGCCTGAGAAGCAAAATGACAGAATCCAGGACTGCAGGTGAGGCCACAGAGAGAAAATCTCTCACATGTGTGAATTCCCCAAACCCAGGCTGGCTCCTCACCTGTACAGACACAAGGGGGACTTAGCGGAGTCCGGGGAAATGTAAGAACTAAAATGAATGGAGATTTTTATCTGCTTCCCACTTTAGGAGAAAGGGTTTGAAGACTGAGCCCACAAATATCTTGGAATTTCCACTGAAACTCCACACCGGCTATGCCTTGCGGGAAAGCACCCTGGGACTAAGAAAAAGTGAAAACAGTTCACGCTTAAAAGCCTCCATAATTTAAAGGTCAGCCTCTAATTTAGGTACATATTAGAAAATAAAGGAGAATAAAGGAGAAAATCCATATGGTCATTTCAAAAACAAAAAGCATTTGCCAAAATTATCCAGCCACTCAATTAAAAAGAAAAAAGTGATCAGATAATTAAAGACCAGAAAGAAACTTCCTCGATTGTGACAAAGTCCACCCATGAAACACAAACAGCTAAAATCATGCCTAATGAAGAAGAATCAACTTTTTCTCTTAAGGTTCAGAGAAAAATATCTATCCTAGAGGCCTAGGATTCAGCGAGGCATGGGAAAAAAAGAATTTTTAGAAAAGAGAAAGAACTGTCTTTATTCATAGACAACATGATTACACAGAAAATCTTAAGCTTTCTAATAAGAAAACACTAGTAGGGCCGGGGATATAGCTTAGTGGTACAGTGCCTGCCCGGTAAGTGTAAGGTCCTGAGTTTGATTCCTGATACCAAAAAAAAAAAAAAAAAGAAAGAAAAGAAAACCCTACTAGAACTAGTAAGTGAATTATGTAAGGTCACAGTACACTAAACCAAAATATAAAAAACAATCTCTGTATACTAGTAACAGTTTCAAAACTGTCAGCCAGGCACAGTAGCACATGCCTACAGTCTCAGCACTCTGGGAGACTGTAGCAGGAAAACTCTGAATTCCAGCTCAGCTAGGGACTGAGTGATTAGCAAGATTCTGTCTCAAAAAAAATTAATTGTCAAGGTCCTTGCCTCAACTGCCAGTACCATGCCAAAAAACAAAAAACAAAACAAAACAAAACAAAGTCAAAACACCAATTATAGAGCTGGGTGTGGTGATACATTCCTGTAATCACTGAAGTTGGGAGGCGGAGGCAGAATGATTACAAGTTCAAGGCCAGCCTAAGCTACATAGCATGACCCTGTCTCAACCTTCTCCCCCCCAAAAACATTTACAACAGCATCAAAAAGCCTAAAGTACTTTGGGAAAAAAATGTTTAAACATCCAACAACTCTATATTGAAAATTACATATTGGTCATACTAATATTGCTGTGCAACATTAGAGACCACTGATACATGAAGAGATATACTGTTTAGGATTTGAAAATAGCTTTTAATTGTTGTCAGTTCTCTTCAAATTGATCTATAGATTTAACATCCTTTCAATTCAAAATCCAGAAGGCTATATATGTAAACTCATTCTAAAACTGACATAAAAATTGAAAATAAATGCAGAGTTAAAATAGCCTTAAACAAACAACAAACAAAGACAAAGTTGGAAGACTCACACTACTTAACCTTAAGACTATGATGCAACAGGAAGGAAGATAGTGTGGTATTTGCATAAGGATGGACAAATAAATCAGTAGGAGAGAACAGATAATCCCGAAATGCAGCCACATCAAGACTCTTAACTGATTTGCGTTTTTTTTCTTTTTTTTTTTGTCATTTAGAGACAGGATCTTGCTATGCAGTTCAGGCTGCCCTTGCGCTCACTTTGTAGCACAGGCTGGCCTCAAACTTGCAATGATCCTCTTGCCTCAACCTCCCAAGTGCTGGGATTATAGGCATGCAACACCACACCCAGCTCTCAAATGATTTTTCAAGAATGGTTCCAAGGTGATTTGTGGGAGTGGCAGGGGGTGGGGGCGGGGAGTCTTTTCAACAAATGGTTCTATCTCAACTGGATTAGTACATTTTAAAAAGTTCTCAATTTTTTTTTTTTTCCTTTTTTGTGGTATCGAGGATCAAACTCAGGACCTTGTGCTTGCCAGGCAGGCACTTATGCCATTGAACTATATCTCCAGCCCTCAAATTTTCTGTTAAATTACACACAAGTACCAACTTAAGAGGGCACATAAGACCTAACTAATACTATAAGCTTCTAAAAGAAAACAGGTCTTTGTATGCCTAGGACTGAGTTCATAAAGAGGAGACGAAGAGTATAAGCTATGAGAGAAGAGACTGTAAACCGATCTTAATGAAAAATTAAAACCTTTACTCAAAGACAGCACTACGAAAATGAAAAGGCGAGCCAAACTTAGAGAGAGTACTCATCATAAGTATTTCTCACAAAGGACTCCTACGCAGAAAACATAAAGAACGCTGAGGAACCATTAATAATAAAAAGACAAACCCAATTTTTAGAAAAGAAGGCAAAAGACTTAAATAAGCACTCATAAAAAAACACAAATGGTCAACAAGCCCATAAGACAGTGCTCAACATCAGTGAAATGCAAATTTAAATCACAGAACAGCACTTCATACCCTTAGAACATCTAAAATGAAAAGGAATGATCCCATCAAATATTGGTGAGGATGTGGAATAACTGGAACTCCCATACGCTGCTGATGGGAGAGCAATAATAAACCTTTTCAGAAAACCACACGAGTTTCTTAGAAAGTTAAGTACATACTTACTCTAATACACAGCAATTCCATTCCCAGGCCTCTACCCATAAGGAATGAAAGTATTTATTCCCAAAATGTGCAAACGAGAAGGGGACCAAGAAATGGAGAGAGAGGGGATAGGGAAATAAAAAAATTAAGATGTGTATGTACAAGTACCAACTCCCCACAATGAATGTGATCATTATGTACTGCAAACATGTCATAAAAATTGTTTTAAATAAAAAAAAATACTAGTTCTACCCCCCCAAAAAATGCTCATAGAAGCATTATTCATAATAAACAACTCAGAAAACTCCAAAAGTCTACCAAAAGAAAGTAAACAAATGGATGCTACATTTATACAATGGGGATACTACTCCGAAATAAAACAGGGATAATATTCACAACAGTATGAGTGAACCTCACAGAAAGGATGTTGAACAAAAGAGCACTTACTGTGTAATTTCATTCGCATGCACTTCTACAAGAGACAGAGCTAATCTGCAGTGCAAGAAAGCATTACACATATTGCCTTGGGCAAGCACAAGGACACCAGGGAACTGTGGAGGGATGGAAATGTTCCCTGTCTCGGACTGGGGCTGCTTACTCAGTTGTATGCATTTGCTGTAATCCAACTTACTTCTGATCTTTCATCCCACCATATGTGAATTTTACTTCAATTAAAAAAGTACTTTTGTGAGGGGAGAATTTATAACAGGGAGTTAGGAGGCATAGTACCCCCTAAAGAATAAGAATGAAATACAGATTATAAAATAAGAGAACATGATCCCTAATTTTCTTTCACAGACATTCAGCAATAAACTAAAAGCTTGGCACAAAACCAAAAATCTAAAGTAGAGTTTCACAGGCAGGCATCAAGAGGCAAAAAAAAAAAAAATTAGCCAAGATGGTGATGAATAACAACAAAAACTCCTGTCAAACAAAACACAAGACTACCAGATTTATCAAATGTATTTAGCTGGGCAAGCTGAACCAAAAGACCTTTGAACAATAAAGTCCAGCCAGACCAACTTATAACAGTGATTTTTTAAAGCATCTCTTACAAAATGATTTTGTAACTTCCATGACAGAAATTCTTAGTAAGTCTGAACTGAGATTGTGCGTAGATTAAAAACCAAACAAAACTCACTCTTACCTTCAGTGAAACTCCCCGTCAGAGTGATTACCACAAACACTTTCCCCTCTGGTTCCAGGTCCACCTAGGAAAAGAAAAAAAACCACACCATCTTTTACTATTAAAGTATTTTTGTAGGTCTTAAATAATTCCTCAGGGATGCCGAAATGGATGTATCATGGCCATAAACCAAATGGGTGTCTTTCATTTTACAGAAGAGGCAAGGAAACAAGTGAAATTATAGAAGATGCAAAAGCACATCTAACAGAAACTATTTTTTTCAGAGCTTCCTTCCTCTTGAATTTCACCCTTCCATCTTTGGCTCTCAATGGTACAGAGAAGCAATTATATACTTGGTAGTTGTTTCTGAGACATCCATGCCTCATGCAAACCACCACGAACAGCATCATATTAAACCACTGGCCAGCAGTACATGAGACAGAGAATAACGGCAACGTACTAGGTAATGAATAAATGTGGCACAATCAACTGCAAATCCCTATTTTTATGGAGCAAAAAGTACAGAGACTGCCCATCTTTTCACTCCAGCCCAGTCAACATTAAAGGACTAGGGAAGGAAGTTCAGGACTTTGTATTACTCCTGACTGCTCACAGGAGGACCAAAACCCCCTGAAGGTGGCTATCACCTGAAATACCAAGACATGCGTCCTGCAAGCCTGGCACATGCCCTGCTCCCCAGAGGCTCCCCAGCAGGCGCTCAGGCGGGAAGCATGCCCAGGCAGACAGGCTTTACCTTCCTCCTGGATGCAAACCTCACCCTCCACAAACACCTTAACACCGCTCAGGGTGAGGTGCTGCACTCTCACACACATATACTGCCAACTGTCTTAAAATAACCTTGTCAGATTCTGCCCATGGCTCCATTTCTGCCTTTGACCTTTCACAGAAGAAGAAGGTCACAAAAGCTAGGGATCCATAAGGATGGTCACCTGCGGCAGCACGGCGAATTTAAACTGCAGGTCACATGGTAGAGTAGAATGTGCACTCCCACACCAGGCCATGGATGCCCATCTTTCTCTACTGTAGCTGGCGCTGGACAGGGCAAGGCCTTTCGCCACCCACGCCTCCCTTTCTCTGAGCCTCTGTGATGCCAACATCCCGCATTTCCGGCCAGGCTTCCATATGTGCCCTGAAAGAGCCTCAGCAGTCCTCTTTGCTGTTTTTATTGTACCCACAGGTGAACAAAGGCCCCCAAATACATTGGCCTTACCCCAAGTCACCACCACATTTTTCTTCTGATATCACATATGCCTATATACTTTTCAAAATAAAAGAGGGCTGTTTTGTACAGGCTCAGAAAACTTTACCTATGCATTGTGACCTCGTATTCTCACAACTCTACCTCTGCATAATCCCTTCTCAGTGAGGTTACCTCACTGTAAAACACCTCAGCGAGTTGCACCATGGCAAAGGCTAACTTCCAATATTCCCTTAACTATCTGACACCATTTGTGAACCTTTTTAGAATTGTTCTGAAAATAGAGTTCTCGGGAGAGATGACTAAACAGGATGTCAGTCTCTAATTGTCTCCACTCTCTGCCTTGACTTGTTTCAAGTCAAAACTGTGTTATTTTTAAAAGCCACTCCCTCATCTTCAATCTAAAGGCCTGGCAGAGAACACACACACCCTCCCTCACAACCAAACCGCTGTCAGCCTGAGGACAGCCATACTGAGGCTGCCCCTGCGTTCCTGTGCCCACGGCCTGCCCGCAAACCTCCGCCACCACCCCGAGGACGCGCACAGAGCACCGCATCCCCACAGGGCAGGAGCTGCTCTGACCCATGGCAGGACAACTCCACCACCTAGAACCAGACGCGCTCACACTTAGGATAAGATTTCTTTCGTCACTTGTTACCTGTGCCCCTGCTGGAGTGGACAAGACAGATCCAAACATCATCTTCAAGTCTTGTCCACGTGGGACACACGTGCCAAAACACAGGACCTCAGAACAGGATTTTACAAAGTACACATCAATACCCATTAGAGACATGAAAATAAATTAGTGGGATGTCACTGATTCTTATGGAGATTTTTAAGTAGAAAAAGAAGATATAAACACATCATAGGTAGTAAAGCAAAGCACCATTTCCTAACGCTTGCTTGCAGTTTGGTGTACACATATAAGAGTACAGTAGGAGCCAAGTATGTGGCATGTGCTTATAATCCCAGCACTTGGGAAGCTGAAGCAGCAGGATTGTGAGTTTCAGATCAGCCTGGGCTACCGTGAGAGAGACAGAGACAGAGACAGAGAGAAACAAAAAGGTATAAAGGGTTTTCATGCAGAAGTGTATGCCTTGTTGTGTGAAGAAGTATGTGATCACGTGTTCCCTTGTAGTGCTGATGGGCTACTGTCATTTATTCTGGTAGTTGCTTGGATACCCCCAGTGACAGCCAACTGGCTACATCAACCACTGACCTCGTCCACTCTCATACTCCACCAAAGGCTCTTTCGGTATGAGCGGGACTGCAGTGAGCCCAACACTTTTCACACACTGACCTGATGCCGTGCTCCACAGTTCGAGTGGACACTGTCTCTTCCCTAGCCAGGGATGCTCACTCCAGCCTTCTGGGAGTAGCACTGGACTTTAGTTGAGAACATCCTCTCTCACATGTAGTCCAAATGGCTCAGCTGAGTTTCTACTCATCCCTCCAGCATGGACATCTGACCAGGCCTGTTCTATCAGAGCTCTGAGTTCTGCCTGCCAGGACAACTGGCTGAGACTTGGCTCAATCCCTGTGTCTGGCTATCGGAGTAACCACAACTCCCTTCCACCAACAGCTCCCAGTTCAGATTTGATCACAAAATTCAAGTAGATCCAATTAGGAATCCTAGATCTATAAGACAGACAACATCTCACCTCTGCTGAACTCCACTCTGGAAGGACATCGACTTGGGAGTGTCTAGCACCCTGATGACACCACGCTGAGCTAGAGAAGGACGCCAACAAAGAGGGGAGGGCTGGGTGACAGTAAAGACCAGGTCTGGATGTCATTTCAATCTGCAGATCAAACTGTGCTGGATTCTTCTGGATTTTTCAGTTGTTTGAGCCTATAAATTCCTCTTTTTTGTTTTAAGTCTGTTTGAGCAGGGTATTCTATCCGTTGCACCCAAAAGACTTCCAAAATTGTAAGAAAAGGAGAATAGATCGAATATTTAACAATTACACATCCCCTCTACATGCTGTCCACTGCACCGTGACTCAGTCTCCCACCAGCACAGAAGCAGCTCCGGCCTCAACACACCCTACTGTCAATCCCAAGGCTCCCAAGGCGGGGCCGTCATCACGCCCAGTCTCAGCACTTCTGGTCCTCAGGCAGCTCCTTCCTGTGATGCCTTTCCTGGTCTTCCTCTCACTCTTCTCTGACTTCCTCAGGCCCCTTGCAGCATCTCTCTCAGTGCCTCTAAATCTTGCTGCTCTCCAGTTCTTTTTCTCTTTCTATTGGAAGATTCAAACCCTCAATTTCAAAATCCATCCCAGACTTTCAACTCTGGGGCAGGAGTGGGAAAAAGAAACACAGTGAAGAGTCTGAAGATGCAGGGCAGCATCCTAAGTCTCAGCACAAGCCTCACCCACAATCTACGAATGTGCTCTCGCTCGAAGTCTCCGTCTCAGTGCCCCATGTGCCACTGAATCAACCTGCCCTCTTCCATTACCGACCCCAGCATTTCACCCAGCATGTCCCACCAGAAGCCCAGCCTCTAGCCATCAAGACTACTTTTTGAGTCTCTCCTCAATCCATCCTTCCCTCTCCACTGCTACTGCCATGCTTTATCTGACCTCTTGAAACAGCTTTCTACTTATCTCCAGATTGCTGCCTGCCAGTGACATGTTTCAAAAACAAAACTGACCATGTAACTTCCTACCTTAGGATCCTTCTGGGTTCCCATTTCCTCCCATGGTCAATCCCATCTCCTCAACACATATCCCTAGACACTATGGCCCTTCCTGCCCTCCAGCCTCATTGTACCCACCATCGCAAAGACATAAAACCTGTGTTCCAGCCTCTTTTTAATTTTTGTGCACTCTATTTAACAAACGTAGTAGGTCAACTGAATATCCATATGTAAAGTAAGGAAGTTAGACCCTACCTCATATCAAATATTGTGTTTACACATCTTACCTGATAAGATGTATAAACACTAACTCAAAATGGATCAAGACCTTGAAGAACTATAAAACCCCTATAATAGCTGAGTGTGGTGGAGCACGCCTATAATCCCAATACTCAGGAAGCTGAGGTAGGAGGATCTTTGCAAGTTCAAAAGCAGCCTGAGCCACAAAGTAAGCTCAAGGTCAGTCTGAACTACAAAGTGAGACCCTGTCTCAAAAAAGACTGGAAAAAAAAAAAACTTAGAAAAAAACACAGGAGTAAATTTTCCTGACCTTGGATTAGGCCATGGTTCTTTTAGACAACATCAAAAGCAAAAGTGACAAAAAAAGTGATAAATTAATTCAAAATTAAAACCTGGGTGCTACAAACAATACTACTAACAAAGTAAATAAACAATTCACAGAATGGGAGAAAACATTTGTAAATCATATTTCTGATAAAGGACTTGTACTCAGAAATATAAAGAATTCATACACTCCACAATATAAAGATAAATAACTCTATTTTTAAAATAGGCAAAGGATTTGAATAGCAACTTTTCCAGAACATACATAAACTACCAATGAGCTTATGAAAAAATGTTCAGCATCACTGCCATGTGAGAAATGCAAACTGAAAATACAATGAGATGGCGTTTCACCCCAAAAGGAGACTATAATCAAATACAGACAATAATCAGTGTTAAGACGGATGTGGAGATACTGGAATGCTTGTGTATTGTTGGTGGGGATATAAAATGGTCAGTTACTTTGAACAGTTTGGCAGTATCTCAAAATGCTAGTAATTGAATCAGTTATGGCCCAGCATTCCCACTCTAAGTAAAAGAAATGAAAATACTATATACTCACAGGAATTTATACAAAAAATGTTCATAGCACCACTATTCATAATAGCCAAACTATAGAAACAACCTGGATTGTACATCACTTGATTAAAGGATTAAATTATGA